TTCTTGTTTTAAATTTCATACTTTAACTTTTACTAGCTCCATTAATATATTTTGATTTTTTTCCTAATACAGCTATAGTCTCAAAGAACGTGCTTTTTTATATTAAAAATAGTTTCTTTAAACGAGATATAACATTTATCTAAATTTTATTAAGCACCCACAGCATTCTGTTAGCTTAACAATGTACACGAAGAAGAGGCACGCATAGTCATATAATATCAAACGTCTCAAATCCCTCTGAGATTATTTGTATAATGTGTCAGGTTAGGATTATTTAAATCCCGTTTGACCGAGTAAATACTGACTCTTAAAAGAAACTACAAAAACTGTTTCATAAAAGCATAGTTGGTGGATTTGTATTCAAGACAACAGACGTTCAGATACCTTTTTTTTAAAAACTGCTTTTTATCAATTGTCGTCAAGTTTCTTAAAGAAAACAATAGTGCATATGAGATGATCCGTTGTGGATTTATTACAGATATACTCACCATAGCGTCGTATCCAATCAGGTTCATGAACTGAGCGCTGACTATTCCACCAAACTGGTAGAACCACAGAGTTCCCTGGAACTGGTCTCCGGCGTCCAGTAGAACGATATTGTTTTTTTCAGACCTTTTCTGTTTTACCTAAAATAGGAGATATTTTATTTGGGCGTTTCGAAAAATTTCTTTTACCCACAATTCACTTGAGAATGGAAGACATGAAGACTAATATTTATGAGTGAATAATAAATACAAAAATGACATATGGTACTTATTTGTGTAGCACGCAAAATTACTTATTTATCGTTTTTTGTCCTTAGAAATGAATTATTGTGTGCAATCCTTCAAGACACTGTGTTACTTGAGTATCACGTTTAGGGGTCATCCATAAATGACGTCACTCTTTTTTGGACGATTTTTACCTCCCCCCTTCCCCTCCATCACACTTCGTCTCAAAAACCTAGACCCCCCCCCCCCCAAAATGACGTCACACCTCAGTCTACAACCCCCCTCAAAATTGCAGTTGAATTTTTCTTAAAACATCGATATTTTTTCCAAAATCTTGTCTGAACTGTCAAAATAGAGTATTTTAATCAATTCCTATTGCAATTTATTAAAACAGTTTTCTAAAACGCAAAATAACGGCTAAAATTTTCTAACGTTGCTTTCTTATAATGCAAAAGTGTGACGTCGAATCATCTGAACCCCCCCCCCCTCCACCTCATCACACACCGTCACAAAATTACGGACCCCCCCTATGAATTTGACGTCATTTATGGACGACCCCTTAGCTGAAGACATAATTTATTACTCGTCTATGGTGCTCCTACTAAATTCATGTCTCTGTATACTAAATTAACTTACTAAGGTGTGAACCCTGGCAAATCCCCCAAAACAATTGTTTTCATTCGCCTGCTCTATGGTACATGGGGCGCTTCTCCTGAAAAGAAAACTAAATTTAATTGCATGTAATAAGAAATATAACAAAATACTATGACAAACAACAAAAGGAATATATAATTTAACACGCTAGGTAGTAAGCCAGTCACTTGTTGTTGCATTCCAGAGAATATATTTTATTGCAACAACAGTGCTGAAAAAGTGTGTTGTCGTGTGTTATCGTCGTGAGTTAAAGGTAGTAAAAGAATTTTAGCACCAAGACCGAACCAAGTTACTTTTTTTTTGTTTTACTGCGATTTTGTCGCTAAGTGGGTCACACAAATCTATTTTCTCTTCTCAGCATACAAGTGGAGTGATAAAAAATTATATAATTAGAGAGTTATAATCAATCGTGGTACCAAGAAACGAAACAAAATAGCGATTTATAAAAAAAAATCGTTGTACAAAGAAACGAAACAAATATAATTAGATAGTTATAAACAATCGTGGTAAAAAGGAAAGAAAAAAAAATATAATTAGAGAGATATAAACAATTGTTGTACCAAGAGACGGAAAAAAATAGTATTTGAAATCTGAGTAAAAATGAATAAAATACTTGTCTGCTTGTTCAATCCGTGCATGGATATCATTTGTGTGCAGAACAGTGAGGGTAAAGTCAGCAAATGTCGCAGGTAAACACAAGCAAAGTAGCGCTATCAGGAACATCCGGGTTGTTGACGTTATATTCGTTAGGGGCAGTAGACACTGAATGTGGAAACAGAGCAATGGAAAAATATAGATAAAAAAACACGGTTAAAGGCAATGTTTTTGTGTTGATGAGAGTTAAGATGCATTGTGTAAGTACGTGTGGTGTGAAGACCTGTATGTTCGCTGCTAACTTGAATCAACACGAAAATATACAGAGAAACCCTTAGCAGATTGATAAACAGTACTGTATGATGTTGTGATAGAAAATGTGTTGGTTTTTGGAAACATTTTGTTTTATTGCATTATTTCACCGTGTCGTTGGGAAGCTTATCTCACACGAGAGTAGGCGACGATACATATATGGTGAAAAAGAAGGTCTTTTGGGTGAGCCATTGAAGAGGTCGATTTAGTTTTAAGCAAATATTTTTTAAAGAAAAGCCTGATTTATAAACGAACCGTTTGCAAACAAAAGCTGCAAGATTAAAAATTATTTTTGCGAGTTCGCATTTAACAGGAATCCACACTTTTCGGTGCGTTCATATGGTGCGCAAGTCTTTATATATATATATATATATATATATATATATATATATATATATATATATATATATATATATATATATATATATATATATATATATATATATATATATATATATATATATATATATATATATATATATATATATATATATATATATATATATATATATATATATATATATATATATGCGATCGATTTTATTGAAATGTTTTAATGATTTCTAAAAATTAACTAAAACCGTTTATAATAAGAAACTTTTATATAAGCGTTAAAAAGAAGAAAATAAAATGACTTTCTATAATATGTAAAAGTCTCTCCCCTACAGAAGTAACTATAATGACAAGCCCAGCGTCTATGTGCAAAAAGTTAAGTAAAAAGCAAAGTATATTTTCGAGCATCGCAGTCAATGGGGGCAGTTGGAGTAGAGTGCACTCGGTATGTGAAGTGTGTGCAACACCATCTGAAACCATTTTTACTTTCCTTAACGTGAGTCAGGTACCCGTCAGAGCTGGGTGAACTCATGGACACCGAACCCTGTCATCCAAAATCGTCTGGATGTAAACGGTGAAATTTTGGTACGACAAATATTGCTTGGTTATTATTTAATAAGACCAACTTTTTGGTGTTAGATGTTCAACTATCTTCCGACTAATATTAATTTATAGTATCAAACGTCAGCATGAACGACTCAAGGCTATTTTTTTTTAAATTCACATAACATGGTTCAACAAAACAACATTTAATGGGTTTTTAAAAAATTTAACTTTGATTAGTTACCGAAAAAGCCAAATCTGTTTAGAGTTTTTCCCAAACCACAGTCTTTAAAACCCTATTTGTTTTATAACACTGCACGAAAGTTTTTTTAAAAATAATCTTACCCACTTTGAGTGACACGATGCTATTAATAAATCCACCACCCATAATCTTTGTTGTGTATTTAAATATCATTAGCACCAATAATAGTAGCTGTCGTTTTTAATACAACATTTTGCTAAATTAATTAGTGGTGGGTTATTTTTAATTTGGCGCTTCTGTAGTTGGCTTCACTACGCAACCCTTCCACTAACTAATTAACATATCATAGCTTTGTAATTACCCGTCCAGATTGATTCTAATAAAACGTCAACACAAAAACTTTTAGATATAGAGTCTAGAGTCTAGAAGGCGAACTTCAGGTATTTCTATTATCGATAGAAATCTAAGTATTGCGAACATTTACATTTCAATCAAAATTAGTCACTAAAACTCGAACAAAATATGTCTTTTACATAGATCTATAACCAACTGCAGAGGATAAGCTTTTAGTGTATTTTTTTTTTAATTTTGAATTTGAAATAAGCGTATCTAAAACAAAAACACACAATTTCTATTCCGGAAGTAAATATGACGCCATCATAGATTTGCTTTACATCCGGTATTGTACAATGTAAATAGTACAGGGTTAATACGCCTAATGAGAAAATTGTGGAAGATTCAGTGGTAATACACCCGGGACGTGTATAAAATGATCATTTGAGTAGGGTACTATCCCCTCGGTCTATTACCAAACTTTGTAAATATTAACTCCTGAAATACACTGCAAGAAATTACTTACCGTTTGAAAGTAATAACAACAATGATATACACAAAGTACAACGTTTACAAAATTCCGATTTAAGCAATCACAAATATGGCAAGAGGTTTTTTCTGCCTAGAAGGACTATACGACTTTTAATAATGTGTGCGTGTTGTTGTGACCCTAGTTGCTCTGTTAGTTGTTCCCCTAGCTGTGTCCTAGCTGTATCCCTACTGTGCCCCTAATTGTATCCCTTGCTGTACCCTAAATTGTGCACCTAATTGTGCCATTTCTTATGCCCCTAGTTGTGCCCTAGTTGTGCCCTTGTTGCACTCTAGTTGTGCCCATAGTTGTGCCCATAGTTGTGCCCTAGCTGTGCCCCTAGTCATGCCTTAGTTGTGCCCTAGCTGTGCCCCTAGCTGTGCCCCTATATATATATATATATATATATATATATATATATATATATATATATATATATATATATATATATACATTGAGGGGTTATATACAGTGAATTACTTAACTTTTTAACTCTTTGTCATCCGACCAACTTACATATTTGATCACAAATAGTCCTAACAAAAACGACTGTCGCAAACATATGGTGTTCTCTTAAATATAGAAATTCATGGATGGCTTTAAGCAGTTGTTCAATAAAAAATACTTGCTATCAAAATATGTTAGCAGAAAAATTTCTTTCAAAATATGTTTGCATAATAAATAAGAATTAAGAGTTGTGTAAACTTTGATACTATAAAATCGAATAAATAAACACACAAATTCATCGTCTACATTTAGCAACTCCATAAAGCCAGCTTTAATAACAAAATCTTTATTTAAATATTAAAATGATCAAAAGTGGGACTTTGAAATGTTACAACCTATCTGACATGAGGTATAAACAGTGTAAAATTTAACATCAACATTAATCGAACATAATGGCACATTAGCAGTAACAGTAGATATAAACATGTGTTTATCGTTTATGGCAATATATCACATGATATTAAAGCAACAACATAACGGATAAGATGGATGACATAAACAAAATAATTGCAGACGAGTAAACATGTTTGATTGCTACGTTCGTTGTTTTGCAGTTGTCTACATCATTAGAAACGAACCGGATTCGATCCTGAAGCCCAGTCGTTATTGGGCTGAACTTTTTCACATAGCTGATCAAGATGTCTGTGTCTAGATCTCCTGGAATATGTTGATAAAGGGTCAGATTAAAGCGGAATTTAAGTGACATTTTCAGTTTATTGAAAATTGATAATCTAGCCTTGATAAAAAAATACGTTTAATGTTTTTATTCATAAACGTAAAGTTTTTATATAATTGGAGAAAATTTCGATGTATAAGCTAATTAAACTTTTTTTAGCACTTCATATTCAAAATATGTTAAAGCTAATATATATATATATATATATATATATATATATATATATATATATATATATATATATATATATATATATATATATATATATATATATATATATATATATATATATATATATGAGTCAGGCAGTTTCTTGAAAGTTCAGATCTTTGAGAGACAAAACAAAAACCAACATAAAGCAAATCTCCTCTGTTCACCACCTAGATCTAGACAAAAATAAAAATGTATGCATGAATGTTTCATCTTCACCTAAAGGAATTCTATTGATGATGTTTGACTTGAGAACTGTATAGCCGTCGCCACCCTTAATTACAAAGGTAATAGCGAGTATCTTGTAGTGTTTGTCTACTTGGACGTTCTCCAGCCTGGGAATGTCGCACTGTGTGCAGGTGACCAGAAGTTCGTGAACTCTCTGACCCACTGGACGATCCATGTTGTACGTCACTCTCATGCCTGCGGTAGAGATTCGTGTTAGACTAGTTACAACTTTAAAAGTATACAAATAGATATAAATATAAACGATATATCTAGCGCATTAGAATCGTCTTTTAAACCAATTATTATATAGTTTTTCAACAGTAAAAAAAGTCTTTTTTAATAAACACCAATTTAAAAAAAATACAAATGGTTTTTATGATATATATGCTGGGTAATGAAAAAAAAGAAAGGATAAATCCCACTTACCAGATACTTGCAAAAACCCACCAAAGCCGCTGTCTGTAGAGTTGACCCATTTACTAGCACAGTACTCAAACACGTCAAGAAGTGTTTGTCCGGTAACTTCAACAATGTCAACTTCATTTCTAAACGGCTGGACAAAAATAACGTTCTCTGTTGTGATGTTACCTGGATATTGTAACATTTGTGTTATTTTACTGGAATTTATTTTTTACAGATTATTACGTTAGAAGATAAACAGTAGTAATTTGTTTTTTTTTAAATTGATGGTAATTTTTTTGTTACACAAATATAGCAGGAACTCGGCTAAAAGACTTGAGGTTTAACAAGCCATGACTATATCATTCAACCACATTACTTCCACACATTCTATATTAAAAGTGTATAATATTGCTGACTAATTTCCAACAACACACATATGGATTAAAATATGCATCAGTATATATACAGCATCATTATTATCACCTATGTGCCTCAAACACAGGGGGGTGCAGATAAAGTAGAGTTAATCTGTTTCAAATACCGCAGCATACAGTGGAATAGTGTGATCAGCAGTATGTCCAGCAGGCTTAGTTTCCCTAACGTGAGTCAGGTACTCATCAGAGCTGGGTGGAGATTCACGTTAGCAGAGGCGTAGCGACCCTTCCCGGCGCCCGGGGACAAACTTTCCGATTTGCACCCCCCCCTCTCGAGATTTTGATTTGCACCCCCCCCCCCCCTCCCATCAAACTTTCGATTTGCACACCCCCCCCCCCACTCGAGATTTTAATTTGCACCCCCCCCCTCAACCTTTCAATTTATTTTTCCAACCCATTTTTGCGCCCCCTAAGCTCGGCGCCAGGGGACATATGTCCCCCCCGCCCCCCCCCCCCCCCCCCCCCTCGCTACGCTACTGCACGTTAGCACTCCCAAGCTCAGGCCGCGTCGTCCCCTGTATTTACATCTTACCTATATTAATTGAAGAGCGTATACCCCCTCCGTTGACCATCGCCATCGCAACATCGCTCCATGTACCATTTGAATGACGCAGGTTGTGTTGTATCATTGCATCGGTGATCACATTCCCTGCGAGCAAGAGATTTATCATGTTGGGGTGGTCTTAATGCATCTTTTAAGTCTATTTTCATTAAACTAGTCACATTAAATGTCCAAGACTACAAACTATTTACAATTCAAAGATTTATTACATGTTAAACAAAATTGCCTTATGTTTATCATAACTTAATCTTTATACAAGACCACTAGGTCGTAAATAATAGGGCATAAAGTGTGATGTTTAGCAGCAGTTTTAATGCTTACGAGCCGGCCAGCGGCATAACATACGCCGCTATTTAGTTGTTGTCTTTTCTACTTTTCAGTAATTCATAATTTGTGAATTCGACGGTACCAACGCTGCCACTGAAAATATTTCTTTAAAACACTATAAGTAGCTCGTTAAGGACCATAAACCCCCCCCCCCTTTCCGTCCCCCGTCCCCCCGTCCCCCTTACGTTTAAGATCGTTTCAAACTAAATTATCTGCCCCTAATAGTCGTCACTAAACCCGGCTCTGCTTGTAAACATTTAGAGTGAACACAGCTCACTAAGACCATGTAGGGGTGGGGAGGTAGGGAGAGCGTTTACAGCTTGTTTTAAAGCGTCTCCCGGAAGAGAATTATATATATAGATACTGGCGCTATAAATTCAGATGCTACATAGAATTACTTGAAAAGATATGGGCTGCAACTAAGTATTTTAAAGTCTTTCGTTTAATACGAATATATAGGGGGAAAAACAATAGAATTAAACATTGTTGCAATCTACTGAAGTTAACAAAAATTACAACCAAGGTAACAAAGATTTTATTGACCTAAGTTATAAAGAAACTTATTCAAGTTTTTAAAATTTTACTTGCTACGGAAATTAACAAAAAGTACAACTTTAACAACTTGACAAAGATCTACCACATATCGAAATTCACAAAGATTACCCGTGAACAAAAACTTACCAATGTTAACAACTTACCAATGTTAACAAAAACTTACCTATGTTAACAAAATCTTACCTATGCTAACAACAACTTACCTATGTTACACTCTGCTCTCCGACACACCTGCTTGTCAGTGCTCAAGAACACGTAGCTCTCACCTACGACGGTTTTCTTAAACGCGTTCACCTGCGGCAGGTAGGTGTTAATCAGTGCCATCGTCTCATTATCTAAGACACAAATAATTATAATAGAAATGAGGGGGAATGATTGAAAGCATCTTTTTATAAACAGAATTGGTTAAGCTTCTGTAGCAAAACTATTTGATGACCATAGTTTTTGCCAAAAAGAAAAACACGTATTTTGTCAAGTTTTGGTTTAACCGTGAAGGCACTTTTTAAGAATAATAACTAATTAAAAGTTTTCTCGTTATTTGTGACAACGTGTTTTTCTATGGGCCCGCCACATTCGCCAACAACAAACGACGCCTCTATGGCTCCAGTTCAAAAGAATTCATTGAGTCCACTCAGCTGTGTAAGGTACCTGACTAGATTTTGGGAAAGGAAATACGGCACTGTCATAGTGCTAGCCATTCTAGTCCTTAAAATACCACATTCATAGAAAAGATAAACTTTAATACATCTGTGAGTGGACTACTGGTTCTAAAAGAGTACTTTTACACTTCTTTTACTGAATAATAAATACAGAGCAAAGATAATGCAATCATAAAAAATGGACACAAAACATAAAAACAAGTTAATTAAAAAAGTCTAGTGACATTTATGCGCAATTTCCTTATGTTATCTAAAAATAGCTCTGACGTATAATGATTGGGTGCGTTCAAGCTTGAAGAGCGATCGGTTTGTAGGTGTTTATGTAATTTTAAAATTTGTGACCGAACGAGAGGATATTTTTGAAAACTTTCTTCGGCAATACTGTTCTAAATTATGGCAGGAATCGATTGGTACATGTTTCAAGTCGCTAAGTGGTCTGGTTGCCGAGATATGGGCCAAAAACTGCATTTTTTCGAGGTTTTTTGGCTTTTACGGGAAATACATGAAAGAAACCCGGAATTTTTATGGCCTATGCTCATTCTCGTAACTTTCTTAACATAATTGCTTTTGGAACTAGTCATCGATATTGCTTCGTTGAGGAGGAGATACGACTTAAAGCCCGGACACACATTCATCCATCCATCCATCCATTCCCAGAAATGACGAGTTAATAAACGCAATTCTCCAGAATGGAAATTGCGCTAAAAACTATTAAGACACATATAGTATGTATCGTAATAAGTAATTTAAATGAACTAAAATCAATGAAACTACTACGATTGTATTGCTACTTCACGAAGAATATGAATGAACCTTGAGCAACACTGCCGTTCAACAAAATTGGATTTCCCGTCCATGATTTGACTTTCCCAGCGTCATCAAAGACCACATTTAGCTCCCCTAGATATTTGCCATAAGCGTAATCCTGAACAACGAGGACCGTGTCCCCGGTCTTGGAGGTTACAACAGTCGGGTACACGCCCTCGATTGTTTCTATGGATGGGCCGGTGCCTGGAAGAAAAAAAAAGGGTTAAAAAGTAAACAAAAAGTTATTTCAATAGCCTAAAAAATGCAGTTCCTTATATATATATATATATATATATATATATATATATATATATATATATATATATATATATATATATATATATATATATATATATATATATATATATATATATATATATATGGGGTAAAATACAACGCTTTAAGTTTTTCATTCACTTTTGTTAAAGTGGATTGCTTAAAATACTCATTAAAAAATTAATAACTACATGAATCATTAACCATAATGCACCATAGCTCACAAAGTTTACAATACAATGTATTATTATAATATGGAATCCATATTCAATTTAATATGATCAAATTATATTTCATAACTTAAAACGTAGTGCCGAATAAATATAGTTTCACCATTATAGAGAAAAGAATGCGTGTGTCCACCAACAATGATGTCCACATTTGTCAACTGTTTCCCCAGCTCCACATCAAACGAGTATCCAGAGTGACCAAGGGCGATAATCTTGTTAATCCCTTGAGCCGTCAAGTTGTTCACCTCCGCCTGTACAGCCGCGAGTTCCTGCACGAACTCAACAGTTCCTGGACGTGACAAACTCTCAAGTTTAAAACGCCATTAGGAAAATGGTATAGGGTCATTAATCGAATGACCCCACATAAATTCTTAGATTTGCGAAATATAAGAGTTTCTTTCAGGCATGTTTTGAATGGGGGGGGGGGGGCATTGCCAACCCTCTCAGAAGACGTCCACCCCCCATCCCCCAGACAATATAAAAAACATTTATAAATGACATTGAAAATATAAACTTCAACTATTGTCTTTCCACCCTTCGGAAATGTTAAGAGCGTCCTTCTCCACCCCAGAAGTTGATTCTGCACCCACCCACCCCCCACCCCACCCCCCATTTTGAGAAAACATCTCTCAAAGAAATCCTGTTGGAGATTATAAACTCTGTGTGTTCATACTCATATCCCCAACACAGATATGTATAAACAAAGGACGCCGTGTGCACAGTAACTAATTTACCTGGGGATGAAGAATAAGCTGTCTCCGGGGTGGTGTACCCAACCACACCTATCCGTTCCCCGGCGACCGTTAGAACCGTTGATTTCTTGATGATGTTTTTCAGCTGTGGCGTGTTGTCAAGTTTCATGTTACTTGACAGCAGAGGAAATGACAAGTTTTTGGCGAAAGGTTCGAGACCCTCGACACCCTTGTCAAATTCGTGGTTACCCACAGCCTGTGGATTAAATGTTTTGAAGTTTTGTTTTTGTGTGTGTATATTTACGTTCCCATTTCGTATGATATATCTTGTAGCATTTATAAATACAATTATAGTCTTGAATTCTTTGCTTTCTTCTATTATAAATTTAATACAATAACATGATTTAATGAATGTAAACATTCAAATTTAATATAAAAATACAAGTTTATAAAATGTATTAAATACCCTAAGCTATGTAGTCAAAAAAGCTTAAAAAGATTACGCAAGAAACCGCACACACAGCCATCTCATGTCAAACGTCTTAAATCCCTCAGAGATTATTTATATCAGGTGTCAGGTTGGGATTAATTAAATCCCGCTTGACAGAGTAAATATTGGCTCTTGAAAAGAACGACGAAAACCCTTTAACATCACGTCATGGGGAGTATAGTCATAAAGACGACATACCGTTTTTTGGGCCTACTTTTTAACACGTTTTTATTAACTCAGCTTCGCGTGTGTTTGTTGTTAAAATTGACATCGAAAATTAACCCACTTCTGATTGCTCAATAGATCTGAAATTTGGCATGTAGGCTACTTTCGCCTAACAATTTCAGATGCAATCATAAAAACTAGCAATTAGAGACGGTAATTAGCTTAATTTAATTACGCCCCAAGGACCATAAAATTGAGGACATGATTTCTAAAGATACCGACAAGACTGGAGGCTTATAGACACAGTTACTTCGGCCCCAATCGATGTGAGCGCGCTGGCCGTGATCGTATAGTGGTTAGTACTTCGCGTTGTGGCCGCGACAACCCAGGTTCGAATCCTGGTCGCTCAAGATTTTTTTAGTCCGTGTATTTATAAACACTTAGTCAATTCATACTTAATCAAGTCATTAGATAAAGTAGAAAATAAACTATATAAAAAACTTTTTTAAAAACCACGTTTTTCATGTGTAGCAACGGACTAAAAAGGAGAAAATAAAATACTTAAAAAAAACTTTTTAAAAAACCACGTTTTTCTTGTGGACTAAAAAGTAGAAAATAACTATTTACATACATTTGATGACAAAAAACGTGGGTCGGGCAGATGGGTCGGGAAATTTGATGGTGAACGTACCCACGTTTTTTGTCATCAAATGTATGTAAATAGTTATTTTCTACTTTTTAGTCCACAAGAAAAACGTGGTTTTTTAAAAAGTTTTTTTTAAGTATTTTATTTAAAATTGGTCGTAGAGCTTCCTGATGAAAAAGAGCAAAGAGGCAAATGGGTTTATATAACGTGTATTTACCATGGCGTCGTATCTTATAAGGTTCATGAACTGAGCGCTGACTATTCCACCAAACTGGTAGAACCACAGAGTTCCCTGGAACTGGTCTCCGGCGTCCAGAAGTATCGTGTGGTTGACGTGTTCGGCTCTTTTCTTTTCTACCTGAAACACAACACATGTGTTAAATTTACACTAAACACAAAACATTTGTTAAATTTACATTATTTTCGGAGCTCCCTGACAAAGCACATACATACAACTCACTGAGATATTGGGTACTTATACAATCAAAGACAGTGAAGTTCCATTTTCGAACCTGATGGTCCATAGGACAAGTAATATAGAGTTCACCTGTTTTTGTGACCTGGTCCTATGAAGGGATAGTGTGGTCAGCACAATGCCCAGCAAACCATCACATTCCCTAACGTGGACAGGTACGTTTTACTTATTTGAACCCGGATTCGAACTCGAGACTTACGAGCTCGAAGTATAGCGCTCTACATCTATGTAACGCGAATCAAAGATGGGCAGTCAGTTGTTTACAGGGAATAAGAAATTAAAAAAAGATAATACGTAGTAGTGAACTGTGCTTTTAGAAAAATCTCTCCGTATTTATCGTTTGTCTTAAGATGTTCAATTTCCCCTAATTCAAGAAAACAAGCCTTATCTTAGTTTTGCATTGACTAGAAGATTTTATTTTTCACTTGATTCTGTTGTTCCTATATTAATTATGCTGGTGTATACCAAAGTAAAAAAAAAGTTTAATACATCTTATTGTGAGAAGACCAGATATTCACTTAGCATGTAAATCCCAGATAAATGTGAAACGATGCTGTAACTTACCATGGTTCGAATCCTGGCTACTCCACCAAAGCAATTTTTGCCCGCCGCCTGCTCCGGTGTACAAGGGGCGCTTCTCCTGAGAGGAAATATTAAATTTTACTGCATGTAATCAGAAGAACTAAATTTTATCTGACTATTATAATCTACGTTTTAACATCTTAAAATATTTTTATTTCCAACTAAAATCTACAATTTTCAATGGTTTTTTTATTTACGCTGAATAACATTTTTACTAAGTTTTTAATCGCCATTGAAATTTATTTTTATCTGACAATGCTTATTATATCTCATAATAAACTATTTTAAGAAATCATGGCATGTTTTTTTTTTACTTCCTGTTATGATCTATTTTTATCTGAACGTGCTTTTATTTCAAAGAATAATCTGTAATTTAATACGCAAGGTAGTGTGTCAGTCATTCAATCACACCTAGACGTAAGTATTTGAACAAAGTAATCGTCGACAAGATATATTGCAGGATATATTGCTGGATATATTGCTGGATATATTGCAGGATATATTGCAGGATATATTGCAGGATATATTGCAGGATATATTGCAGGAAATATTGCAGGATATATTGCAGGATATATTGCAATATATATTGCTGACAAAATAGGCGTTTTTTTCAGTGACGTCATCCGGGTTATTGCTATTAAAATAATATTTAATGCTAGGGCCGAATAACGTAAAGGCAATTTTAAAAATTCTAACTCTGCTCTTTAGCCCGAGCAGGACCAGTAATAATTACCATCTCTTCCCAACATCTGAATGTCAAAATGTTTCACGGAGTTGTATTTAAAAGTAATACTTGAACGTTGACACAAAAATAATTTATTAAAATCGTAAAAACCACATAAAAAAATTACGCGTCAGTTTCTTCAATCCTGGCGTGGACATCGTTTGTGTGTAGCAGTGTAAGGCTGAAGTCCGAACGTGTGGCAGGCAACGACAGACAAAGTAGAGCAGTCAGACACAGCGGGGCTCTAAACATCATCTTTGTCAGGGGAAGTAATCATTGAAATTAGTAGAAGAACAAGGGAAATAATCATATTAAATGTACATAAAATAGTAAAACTCAAAATAGTTTGTGTGTTGTGGTGATAGGTTAGATAGTTGATTATTTTATGTGTCCGTGCATGTGTTGAGGTGTCTGTATGCTTTTATAATAAACATACGAACTTTATTGATTTTATCTTTTTTGAAAAAATCTAATCGAATAACTTTAGTTTAAGGAGGGTAATATGAATTTAAGAATCAATGAGATTCGTAGTTCTAATACTATAGAAAAAATTCTAAAAATGATGCTAATTATCTGATGTTAAATATATATAAAAAAAAAGAAAAAAAGAAGAAAAAAATCTGATGTAATTATGTATCTACATTTTCAGGTTTAAAAAAAAATTGTAATTAGACGTTTTGTATTAGATCTATGTAAAAGTGAACCATCTTAATGAATGAAAGTATGCTTAAGTTGGCTACAAGTAAGAAAGAAGTACTACTATTGTAAATCTGTATCAGTCCTCACAAGCCGACGATTAAAACTGTAATACTAAAGCGAAGATGCAAGGCAAACTGACGCTGTAAATTACATGTCTGAGGCTGGAAAAATAATATTTAAAAAATGATTTAAGTAAAATTTCCCTAATGACCTAATTGGGCAAGTGTCTATTCGGACAAGCGTCTTTAGAGAATTTGACGCTGCAAGTTGTTGGTCGTATTCAAATTGTCAGATCTTTTGATACGTATATTGCCTAATAATTTATTGGGCTTTTTGTTTTAATCGTCTCGCTATTTTTTAAATGACTAAGCGGAGTGGGTGGAATCTTTTTAGCATTGGACATAGGCGCTTGTGTTGTATTTCTGATGTGATACTTTGCCTAGCTTGTATACTCAATGTTGTGTGGTGATCGTTTCAAAAATGGTTTTGTCAGCGGCGATTTTTTAATAAAATGTTAAACTATTTAGAAAAACTCAAAAATAAAACAATTTTTGTGGATTATTTACACTTTATATTGCTTATAATATATTATAAAGACAGCATTGAGTTTATCTTTAATAATTTATTTACTTTGATTTTGGTCATTATTTTTTTTGGTGGGGGTAAGGTGGGGGCAGAGGGGGGTAAAAGTCTATTCGAACAAATGGTCTTTAGCATCAACGTCCAACTCCCAAACTAAAGAACACCTGTTGAGGGTGACACGTATTATTTTATTTTAAAACTAAAGTTTAGGGAGAGACAGTTAAATAACGTGTATGAGGGGGGTGGAGGTTACTGATTAAATCAAGACCGTTGGTAGAAAAGAAAGCACTAATTCCGCAAGTGAAAACGAAAGCTTTACACACACTTTGCAAACCTTTGATTTTTAATAACGTTTTCCAACTCAATCTTCCTGCTTTATCCGAGAGAACAAGAAATATCAAATTAAATATTACTGCAGTACCTATCACCAAATAAATTTTCCTGCTTTGCCTGAAAAAAAAAACCCACCTAAGTGAACCAAATACGGTGTCTGACAAATCTAAGTTATTTAAATAAATTCTCCTGTTCTAACAGTAAATCGAGACTTCTTTCATGAAAGACAAACAACCCGCGCCCGTCTATATGTGCGGGTTTGTCACAATTATGTTCGAAATGAACGTGTCGTGATCTCGAGAAGTGGGCCTTCGTACTTTGAACCACAAGCCCTTACTGCAACCTGTGGCCCTCTACGGCACTCGATCTGTCCAGGAACTGGGATAACCTTTACTCGATGTTGAACATTTCCGCCGCCATCGTTTATTTTTTCGTTTTTTTTTTTCTTTTTCTTTTTTTTTTTTTTTTTTTTTCTTTTTTTTTCGTTTTTTTTTGTTGTTTTTTTTTTTTTTGTCGCCCGCCTGAAAGCTTTCAATGCGAAGGTAATTTGTCAACACACAAAGCTTTTTAGTCAGGCTTCAATAAAGATGATGACATATCCTAACCTTTGAGAAGTATAACAATATTTTAAAACGATTTCTTCTTTGTAAACAAAACGATAATACTTTAACCGTCTTTGAAAACCGTGGTGTGTCTAAACCAGGAAGTTACAATGTAAACAAAAATTTTTAACTTTTAGTCGAACAATGGAGGATTACATTCACTCGATCGTGTTAAATGGAAATATAAATTGTGCTTCTTATTTAATCATAGACGGTACTAGTGAATCTGTTTGGCTAAGGGGTCATCCATATATGACGTCACGCTTTTTTGACGATTTTTACCTCCCCCCTCCCTCTGTCACACGTCGTCACAAAAAGCCAGGCCCCCTCCCCCCCCCCCCCCAAAATGACGTTACACCTCAGCCTACAACCCCCCTCAAAATTGCTGTTGAATTTTTCTTAAAATATAGATATTTTTCCAAAACTTTTGTTAGAAATCTGACATAATTTTGATAAATTTCTAATACTATTTTTTAAAACCGTTTTCCTAAAACGCGAAATAATGGCTAAAACTCGTTTTCTAACATTGCTTTTTTATAATGCAAATAAGTGACGTCACACTATCTGAACACCTCCTCCTCCCCCTCATCACACACCGTCACAAAATTACGGACCCCGCCTCCTCCCTACGAGTGTGACGTCATTTATGGACGACCCCCTAAGACTTAATTCTTAACCTGAGACTTAACACTAACCCTAGCCTCAACCATTATATCTAACTCTCGCCCTGATCCAAACTTTAGTTAAACCCTTATCAGTGATACTAGCAGAAATATTATTTATTTTTCTGGAACTCTATACAACGCCACGTTACATAAAGTTGGTTATAAACTAACGTATTTCGCAAAGCTATAAAGTCGATGTAACACGTCATCGAACTTTTGAAGTCATATTTTCACCGAGAGATTGTGTACACAATGTCTATTACCCACTTGTCAGCTACCAAAGCGGTAAGCTCTTGAAGATAGTATAGAGCTGACAGCGGAGGTAAGGGTAAAATATACAAGCCGGATTTGTCTCACAATGGGTGATCGAGGACAGGTAAACTTAAGGTACTATACCTGAGGTTAGGGCAATGTGGATAATACAGGATTACTACATCCGGGTTGTGTACGTAGCGGATAATAATAATAATAATAATAATAATAATAATAATAATAATAATAATAATAATAATAATAATAATAATAATAATAATAATAATAATAATAATAATAGTAATAATAATAATAATAATAATAATAATAATAATAATAATAATGATAATAATAATAATAGTAATAAATATTAAAATAATTATAACTAGTAAAAATATTAGTATTAGTACAATATATGTATGTTAAGTATATATATATATATATATATATATATATATATATATATATATATATATATATATATATATATATGTGTGTGTGTGTGTGTGTGTGTGTGTGTGTGTATACTCACGTCTTTTTAGGATGTTATACTATTGTACCCCATCCCCACTCCACTTTGGAGAGATTACTTTAACACACTAATTACATTGTTTCATGTGATTTATTGAAACAAGGTGGTTGTGATATATAGTGATTAATACATCCGGGTCTTCTACTATGTGGATACTGGCAGCAGGGAGAGGGATGGGGGTTAATATACATGGTAGTAAATATAAAGCGTAAGCAATATCGGTGTGACGGGGGGGGGGGTAAAAAAACGAGGGTTAATTTATATAATACACGACAACCAGCGCTAGTACACCAAGGCGTCTATCGGCCACCTGAATCATTTCAAAACCTCACCCACTTTGGCAACCTCTGCTTAAAATACATCATTTACAGCACTCTTAATGCTGACTATCACTCGTTCTTCCCTGGGATGGACATTTATAAGTCTACCCATCATGTACACAATAATTCATTAGCATCTAATTACACATATGCCGTGTGTTATTTACGGAGAACAGCGCTGGCCTATTTTTAGGCGTGCATTAGCATATCAATTTTTACCTCAGTTTGCATTACAGTTTTTTTTTTTTAAATAAACAAGCTTTCAGTAAACCAGCACGAAATCCTTCACTTTTCATTACCCCGCTTATTAAGCAAATACTTTCAGCCTCAGTACTTGCCATTTTCCTTTAACTTATCCGTCCCCTCCCCACCCCCCAAAACACATTCACACCGCACACACTTTGATTTGAAATTTGAAGCCTTTAACCATGCGGTTAACGAGACACCCAATCTTTGCATTCAAACCAATGTTTCTTCCAGACTTTTTTCCCCGGGGTGGGGGCAGTTGATATGTTTGCGGGGGTTGGGGGCGGACTACATTTTCCTGAGGGAGGGTGTGACACTGGTAAAAGTACATGCTTTCTTAATAAAGTCCATTTCGGGAGGGGGGTAGACTTTCTTCGGGGGGGGGGCATAATTTCCCCCCCCCCCCCCCCCCCCCCCGAAGATATGCCCGGAAGGAACTCTGATCAAAATACAAAAAAAAAAATAGATCAGCACTAGTTTAGGCATTTATAGAAAGTTTAATCCGAGTACAGTCCATCTATCACGTAGCTTTGAGTAAGATCCTTCTATCGACTTACCAACATATTCAGGTAAACTGAACCACGTACATTTACATTCAGTTTTAAGGAAAACAAACTAAAAACGTCAATTCTATAAGCTCGCTGTATTTACTATCGCGTTCAATTGGAAATGAAGGACGAAAAATAAAATTAAATTCTTAACTTGACGGTATGCTGAAAATGAAGCAAAGGATTAAATACTTTTTACGAGTAAACACAGTAGTTTATGCTGACTAATCTGCCGGTATTATAACTGATTTGTTTTGAGATTTAATAAAAAGGGGATGGGATTAAGACGCGATTAAGTAGGTGATGCGTCAAGGCGAATGTTTTATTCACAACATATTGCTCCACTGAAATATTTATTACTGATGTGGATTGTTTACGCACATACCGCATACATTTAATTGCCCTCCCTCCCCCCCCCCCCCACACACACCACAGAAAAATAAACGACTGTTGGGCCTTGTCTGATTAATGTTATAGAGAAAGTAAATACTTAACTCGGTATACTTTCTGAAAAGTCGTGCCGTCAGAGACAATCATTGCCTACCTCGTGCCTATATCGTGCCGTCACAGATAGTCATTGCTTACCACTTGCCGTCAGTGACAGTC